ATCAAATTGAGAAGTTTCTGCACTTCAAAAGAAACAGGAAAGTGAAGAGGCAACCGATATTTGCAAACTATGCAACAGATAAAGGAATAATAACCAGAATCTACAAAGAGATCAAGAAACTCCACAACAAAACAAACAACCCACTTAAAAGATGGATCAAGGATCTAAACAGACATTTTTCAAAAGAGGAAATCCAAATGGCCAACAGACACATGAAAAAATGTTCAGGATCACTAGCCATCAGGGAAATGCAAATCAAAACCACAATGAGGTTTCACCTCACCCCAGTTAGAATGGCTCACATACAGAAATCAACAAACAACAAATGCTGGTGAGGATATGGGGAAAAAGCCACACTAATCCACTGTTGGTAGGAATGCAAACTGGTAAAGCCACTATGGAAGACAGCTTGGAGATACCGCAGAAATCTGAATATAGCCTTCCCACACGACCCAGCCAACCCACTCCTGGGAATTTACCCAAGGGAAATGAAATCACCAAATAAAAGAGCTATGTGCACCTCCATGTTTATTGACACTCAATTCACAACAGCTAAGACACGAAATCAACCTAAATGCCCATCAATGGAAGACTGGATAAAACAATTATGGGATATGTAGGGATATGTACTCTATGGAATACTACACAGCAGTAAAAAAAAAAAGTGAAATCCGGTCATTTGCAACAAAATGGAGGAATCTGGAAAACATCATGTTGACTGAAAAAGCCAGTCCCAAAAGGACAAATATCATATGTTCTCCCTGATCAGTGACAACTAACTGAGCACCTAAAAGGAAACCTGTAGAAATGAAACTGACACTTTGAGAAACAATGATTCGATCAGCCCTTGTCCTGGCTGTCAAGGAACAGCTTACTATTTTATTCTTTTCAGTATTTTCTTTTTCTACTTAGTACCATTGGTTAAACTTTTTACTTAACACAGAATTATTCTTATGTGTTTAAATCCAATTGAAAATTAATCCCTATTAAAAATAAGAGTGGGAATAAGAGAGAGGGAGTCGCCGGCGCCACGGCTCAATAGGCTAATCATCCGCCTGCGGCACCAACTCACTGGGTTCTAGTCCCAGTTGGAGCACCGAATTCTGTCCTGGCTGCCCCTCTTCCAGGCCAGCTCTCTGCTGTGGCCAGGGAGTGCAGTGGAGGATGGCCCAAGTCCTTGGGCCCTGCACCCCATGGGAGACCAGGAGAAGCACCTGGCTCTTGGCTTCAGATCAGCGCGGTGCGCCGGCCGCAGCGCGCCAACCTCAGTGGCCATTGGAGGGTGAACCAACGGCAAAAGGAAGACCTGTCTCTCTCTCTCACTGTCCACTCTGCCTGTCAAAAGAGAGAGAGAGAGAGAGAGAGGAGATGTACAATTCAGCACATGTTCCCTCAAACTTACCCCTAAGGGTAAAGCTAAAAACTTGTTATGGGACTCAATTCCCATTAAGTTGGCAGGTACCAATGCCATCTTATTAGTTAATGTGACCAGTTTAAGTGCATAGCTGATCATAAAGATAGGATTAAGTGTCAAAGGGATCATATAAATAAGACCAAGTGTCTGCTAATAATAATAGATAGAATTAAAAAGGAGAGAGCCGGCGCCACGGCTCAACAGGCTAATCCTCCGCCTAGCGACGCCGGCACACTGGGTTCTAGTCTCGGTTGGGGCGCCGGATTCTGTCCCGGTTGCCTCTCTTCCAGGCCAGCTCTCTGCTATGGCCCGGGAGTGCAGTGGAGGATGGCCCAAGTGCTTGGGCCCCGCACCCGCATGGGAGACCAGGAGAAGCACCTGGCTCCTGCCTTCGGATCAGTGTGGTGCGCCAGCCGCAGTGTGCCGGCCGCGGCAGCTATTGGAGGGTGAACCAACGGCAAAGGAAGACCTTTCTCTCTGTCTCTCTCTCTCTCACTGTCCACTCTGCCTGTAAAAAAAAAAAAAGATTTAAAAAGGAGAGAACAATCCAACATGGGAAGCAGGATACACAGCAGACTCATAGAATGAGAAATGCCCTAAACAGCACTTTGGCCTCAGAATGAGCCCTTAAGGCATTTGAACCTGGCTAAAAAGCCCATGAGAGCATTTCAGGCATGGAAAGCCAAGACACTATGGAAAAAATGACCTACGGGAAAGATCTTGTGAGTGATATCCCAGTGGAAAGAAGGGACCATCAAAGAAGGAGGTACCTTTCTCTGAAGGGAGCAGAGATCCTCCAATTTGATTATGGCCTTGTCTACATAAGGTCAGGGTTTGAGAACTCAAGAGGCTTCCATAGCCTTGGCAGTTCATGACAAGAGCCTTGGGTGATCACTGACATCATAAATAAGAGTGTCGGCCAGTGCTATGGCACAGTGCGATAAAGCCCTGGCCTGAAGCGCCAGCATCCCATAAGGGTTCTGGTTCTAGTCCCGGCTATTCCTCTTCCAATCCAGCTCTCTGCTATGGCCTGGGAAAGCAGAAGATGGCCCAACTCCTTGGGCCCCTGCACCCACATGGGAGACCCAGAGGAAGCTCCTGGCTCCTGGCTTTAGATCAGCACAGCTCTGGCCATTGAGGCCATCTGGGGAGTGAACCAGCAGATGGAAGACCTCTCTTTCTGTCTCTACTTCTCTCTGTAATTCTGTCTGTCAAATAAATAAAATAAATATACAAATAAGAGTGTCAATTGTTAAATCAACAACAGGAGTCACTGTGCACCTGCTCCCCATGTAGGACCTCTGTCCTTAATGTGTTGTACTATGAGAATTAATGGTACAACTAGTCTTCAAATTGTACTTTATATTTTGAGTGTATGGGTGCAAACTTGAAATCTTTACTTAGTATAGAGTTGAACTTCTGTATATAAAGATAATTAAAAATGAATCTTAATGAAGAATGGGATGGGAGAGGGAATAGGAGGTGGGATGGTTTCGGGGTGGGAGGGTGGATATAGGGGGAAGAACCACTATAATCCAAAAGTTGTACCTATGGAATTTATATTTATTAAATAAAAGCTTTATATTAAAAAATAAGAAAAGAGAAAAAAAATCATTGCCTGAAGTCATTGGATTTGAGTCATAGGATTTCAAAGCCCTAAATCCAAAATTTCTATTGAATAATTTAGACTGAGAATGAACCAATATAGGCGAACTGAGAGATAATGTTGTGAGAGAGGAGAACCATGGACAAGGGAACAGATGGCTTAAAACCATTTCCACAGAAGTTCTAAAGCCTTCTGCTTTGTTTATTTGTGCTTTTAATTTGAGTGTTGGATAGGTAGAGTAGTGAATCAGCTTTAGGCCTACTCTTAAAAGCCAATAACCTACAAGTCACTTTTTAGGTGTGTCTCGTAAGAAAGTTTGAAGAGCAAAGAGAAGAGTAAGAGGGAGAGGTGGTAATTACAGCCTAAGCCAAGGGAAGGTATAGTAGCCTTAAGTTTCCAGAAGCCAAGAAAGAGCCGGAAGTTGGAGGAGAGTATAACGAGAGACCTAGAGAGCATAAAAAGAGCCAGCCAAGGATCTGAAAACCACAGTATCAGCCAAGGGAGAAAAGCAGACCGTGGAAGCCAGACTTCCACGTCTGATCGCATGAAAGTTTAACAAAATTTGAGTATATAACCGGACAGAACTGTCAACAAGCAACTATTCTAGGGCACTGAGAATAAATAAAAATTGTATTAGGTGTGAGTTCATGCAGTTATTTAATTAAAGTAACTGTAACTTGTTATTTTTATACCCACTTCCAACTTTAGTAAGAACTAAAAGTTCAGAGAGACACCCACAGCTGCACAGTGCAGTGTATTTCCAGGAAAGTGACTTTTTAAAAGATGCCTTAGAAAAATAAATCAGAATCTGGAAATATGTCATCTAAAATACCAGTATGAACAACAGAAAGTATGACATGCAAAGAAATATTTTTTTTTAAAAAAAAAGCAATCAATGGAGACTAACTCTAAGTGAACCCAAATACTGGGTTTAGCAAAGACTTCAAAGCACCCATTATAAATTACCTCAAAGAATGGAAAGAAACTCTATTCAAAGAATTAATAGAAAATATAATTACAATGACTAAACAAGTAAATAGTAACAGAGAAATAGAAACTTCAAAAATAAACCAATGAAAATTCGGAAGTTGAAAACAGATCAATAGCAATGATCCAGTCTAGAGAAGAAAGGGAAAAAAGCAACGAGGAAGTGGGCCATAGCAGAAGAATGTGTGATCCTAGCAGTCAAATCAGTCGCAGGCAGAACAAAAAGAATGTAAATCTGAGCTAAAGAATATCTCAACTGTAAGCACTTTATTCACCTATAAAGTAGGAATGACACTACCTACACCATACAAAATTGGCAGGAGGATAAAACAGTTAAATTGTAAAGCATTTTCTCGCACACTGGAAACACATGATAAATGTTAGCTATGTCAGCATCATCAACATTAGCTAGAGGAGGAAATCATAGCTGGCTTGCTCTGTGCCCAAAAGCTCCTAAGGAAACTCTCCTACCTATAGGGAAAGGGCCTACAGGTACCTGAGAAGACCAGTAAATCCTAACTGCTAGGTATCAGTTCTCATGTATTACCTCAACAAGCACCTTTCTGTTGCTCCATAATTATACAATTACTTCTGCATTTCTACCCTTCTTTATGCTGAAAGTATTCTTTTTTGAAATCTTCAAAAGTCTCTGCTGAATGTGAAAATCCACAGAAAATTGTTCTATGTATGTATGTGTAAATGTGTAGGTATATAGTCATAACTATATCTAGAAATATCTTTAATGTTTGCATCCTAATAAGCCTTTTTTCAGCATGTGTTGATGCCAAATGGGGGATCCTTAATGAGACTGAGGAACTGAACTGAATCGCAGAATATCGGAAATAAGGATTGGCAAAACACGACACAGATTTTGCTAAAGATTATTGGCAAGCCAGCTACACTGACTTGAGGGAAACAATAAAGTTTAATCTAAAGAGACTCCACTTCCCACCAACATATTTATCTATTTCATTTGTTTTAGAAAGTACTCACTCTGTTTTTGGAACAGCTTTTCGTAGCCAGAAGAAATCAGACTGTGCTAAGTACTTGCGGGTTTGCAGGACATTGCCAAAGTAGTCAGATTCTGAAAATTTGATCTGGATAAAACAAACCACAATATCACTATTATAAGTAAAGTTAAGAGATTATAAGTAAAGTTAAAAGATCTAAAAAAAAAAAAAAAGACATCAGTGCATGAAGGAGCAACAAGCAGAGAAGCCATGGCCCTCACATCATCTTTCAGCCCTTTATGTTATACCTGGATTCACAAAGCCATGACACATAATCTCAGTTACTTGCTTTTAACATATAAACCTTGAAAATCATGTGGTTATTTCTGGATCACAGTTACAAAAATAGACAATAGAAGTTATAGTCATTTACAATGCAATCCATTTACTTTATTATTGAAAGATCTACCTCAACCTTTACAGAACCTATTATCTTAGCTTTGAAATTTCGTGGCTCACGAGTCCTTGATCTTTCCTAAAATGTGTACTTTATTTATTTCTCACATAAGTTCTCCTAATAACATTCAGTTAAGTCAGCTGAAACCTCATTTAGCTTATAGATGATGATTTAGTCAAATGTTAAAATCCAATTTACTGTAATCGGCATGTGTTCATTAAAGAAAAAAATGAAAGTAATTCAGAGACCTATTTTCCACCCTAAGCACAATGAAGTAACCAGAAAAATTTAATTATTAACATAATTTACCTATTAACACCCAAAAAAGTCTCTGGTCAACAAAAGTTAATAAAATTACAGAGGCAAATCACACATTATAGCTTACATGGGAATACAAGAAGCTGATAGCTCACAACAATGTTGTACTTTAAGATAAAAAACAGATATAATTGAGTTCCATGTTTTGGTTTTCCTTTTTGGAAGAATGGCAGATGGTTTCAATTCTATAATCATTCTAGCTACAAAACTACCAATACTTATCCTACTTATTAGAAATACTATCTGGGCAACCATAAAAGCAATAGTTTGCAATGATCTTTAATGCTTTAGCTTTAAAATATATTACTGCATCAAATAAAAAACCCATACATTTGAATAAGCCAATAACCAAGAATAATCAAATTCTTATTAGCTATAGTTGGTAACTTTAAACCATAGTCTTTCATAAGCAAAAATTAAATATAGCAAATGCATATACGTATATAAAACCCTCAGGCAGGGTGAGTGATTTTCATGCAATGGGTTAAGAATCTGCTTGGGACATTCGCATTCCTGCAGGTTCAAGTTCTGGCTACTTGCTTTTAATAAACTTCCTACCAATGTGCCTGGGAAGGCATCAAAAGATGGTCCAAATACTCCAGCCCCTGCCACTTACATGAGAGAACTGAATGGACTTCCTGGCTCCCAGCTTCAGCCTAATTTAGCAATGGCTGTTGTGGCCATTTGGGGAGTGAACCACTGGATGGAAAAGGTATCTCTTTCTCTATTCTTCTCTCTCTCTCCACCCCCGCCCCGTACTCTGACTTTAAAATAAGTAGGGGCTGGTGCTGTGGCTCACTAGGTTAATCCTCCACCTGCAGCGCTGGCATCCCATATGGGCACCAGGTTCTAGTTCCGGTTGCTCCTCTTTCCATTCCAGCTCTCTGCTGTGGCCCGGGAAGGCAGTGGAGGATGGCCCAAGTGCTTGGGCCCTGCACCCCCATGGGAGAACAGGAGGAAGCACCTGGCTCCTGGCTTCGTATAGGCATAGTTCTGGCCATAGCGGCCATTTGGGGGGTGAACCAACGGAAGGAAGACCTTTCTCTCTGTCTCTCTCTCTCTCTCTCACTGCCTAACTCTGTCAAATTAAAAAAAAATAAGTAAATAAATCTTTCTTATAAAGATTTTATTTATTTATTTATTTATTTGAGGAAGAGTTATAGAGTCAGGGAGAGACAGAGAGAGATGGATCTTCCATCCACTGGTTCACTCCCCAAATGGCTACAATGGCCAGAGTTGGGCTGATCCCAAGCCAGGAGCCAGGAGCTTCTTCTGAGTCTCCCATGTGGGTGTACAGGGGCCCAAGGCCATGTTCCACTGTTTTTCCAGGCCACAGCAGAGAGCTGGATCAGAACAGGAGCAGCCAGGCCACAAACAGGTGCCCGTATGTGATGTTGGCACCACAGGTGGAGGCTTGGCCTACTACACCACTGCACCAGCCTCCAATAAATCTTTTTTTTTTAAATATCCACAGGCATTACATTGTGGATATGAATGTAGATATGTAATCTGATGGCTGTAGACTTGATAGTTTATTTGCCAATATCTGGCTCACATATATAGCCCCCCCAACATAGAGTAAATAGATTAAATCTGTGAAGAAACTTTTGTTAATGGATCATATTACCAATATTTTTTCAGGGGACCAGGCCAAAATATAAAAAAAGGAGTAAAAGAAATGAAGGTACATGGAGAAAGGCAGGAATGAAAGTTCTGATTCCTGGCATCCTGGGTGTTCTGCTTGGCCAACAAATTACAAAGCTATGACTTTCAATTGTCCCTTCCTCAAATTGCTTGGGCAGGAACTGGGGCTGATAAATAAATCATAGTATATTCACATAATGGAAAACAATAGGGCAGTTTAAATGAACGTTCTGTATGCATGGACATGAAATAATCTCAAAAACAACGCCAAGTGAAAAAGGCAAGTTGTATGTATGAGAGCCTTTAAAGCTTTAAAACTTGTAAAACAATACCATCTATTGTTTATGGAAACATCCTATGTAACAAAGCCTAAAGAAATGCATAGCAATGATGAGAATGATTGCAGGACAGAGTTTACCTGCAGGGATGGAGGAAGGAACAGAGGAAGGAGATTAGATCAAGCAGGACTAAACACCAAATTTAGAATGAATCTGCTTTATTCATTTAAAATGTGTGTGTGCATGTATCAAGCTCATATAGCAATAGTTGTAATCCTTGTCAAAGACAGAGGTGCTCAAAAATAGTTTTCCAACTGTTCCATTATTTGAAATGCTTCATCATAAAAAGAAATCTTTTTAAAAAGAAATCTTGTGATTGTATTTGAATCAATCGTATAACTGATTGTATATAAGAGATTGTATTTGAAGGTTTCCTGTTAACCTCAGAAGAAACAGAGTGAGTATCTTGTTTTAGGAAACCATCTTAACTAGCATTCCGGGACCACAGTGTTAGCCACGTGCCCCGCGTTCAAGCCCTAGTTGTTTTTCAGCTTTTTTTCCCAAGACAGTTCTGCCAGAACCTTTAGAACAACGGCTAAAAAATTCAGATATGTTCTTGGGTTCACGACACTTTCTGACAAATTCTCCCAAAGGAAATTCCTTCAACAGTAACTTTTTTGAGTAATATCAATAGGATTAGTTTTCACTGTTAGATGAGTTTGCTAATTATGATACTTTCTTGTTTCATATGGGGGGGGGGGGGGACTCAACATTCAGCTTGGTCCACAGGTATTAAATAAGAAACCATGCCAAAATTTCCTAAAGAAGCGTCTTAAATATAAAAACACATTAAGAAAATTAGGTGCTACCACAGCCATGAAAATAATTATTATTATAAAATAATTAAACTCAGAGGCAGGTAATAATAATTTGCCACAGTCTATCTATGCTTAGAAGGACAATTTTTAAGTTGTTTTAATTAGTCAACTGAGAATATTTGTTATTTCTCAGTCTGGTTTAATTGGTTATTCCATTTATTAAATGGAAATCATAAGTAATATAGAAAAATTCTGACTTCCTCCATTGAGATAGGTTAAATGTTAGGGAGTAGGGTGAAGTCAGTCACTGTTACTCTCATACAATAGATAGGACACAGGACAAGAAATTATGAAACTGAGCAAAACCACAGAGTACAAATTGTTTAGCTCTAATACTTTTTTCAATGTTTCTAATAAGCAAACTAATGATTCAGTAGGAATAGTACAAGGAAGGAGGGCGAGAAGGTAAGGACTCAAGTTAGGAGTCAAAGCAGTAAACGAATCACGGGCCAGCTTGCTTCATCAAATAATAGAAAGCAGTAACAATAATGTTAATAAAGGCTATGGAAGACAGTAACAAAACCATATTTTATGATTTGTAAAGACTAGCATGCAAAATTATATATGAATATCAATTACAGCTACAGAGAAACACAGAGGAGCAAAATAACACAAGCCAACAGAAGCATGTATTATTATGTTCAAGTATCAATATTATTGGTGCTTTTTCAGTTTCCTTTTCTCTTTTCCCAAGCTTTTCTGCTAAGTGATAATACTTTGACATTTTCAAGTATTTCAAAAGGTCCTTGAGAAAAAAAATTCGAAGCCCAACCATTGTTTGTTGTAGAGATTTCAATAAGAATCAAGGCACATGAATATTTTAAAACTACTTGAAAACTCAAAAAACCCTAAACTCTGCAAGAGACAATTGGCTCAAAAGCTTCTTGTCCTCTCAGTTACTGGAGAAAATCTAGGTCAAGTTGATAATGACTTTCAATCAATTTCTTCTCTTGACTTTTCAATTGAGTGAACTTTAGGGAACAAATTGGGGCTCTAGTGTCATTCCTAGGAACAGCTGTCTAGATTATACAATTCCAGAGAATCTAGATTCCCCTTCTTGAAAATCCTATCCTGGATGCCAAGCATCCAACAGCACAGACAATATGGAAGAATAAAGGTATTATCCATCCCTCACCACGACAGGTAAGGAATACACCCGAAGGGCAGACAAAGGAAATATGTTCACATCTCTGCAGATTGTCTGTTTAAAAGATACTACACACAGCAATGGAAGTATGGATTCTAGGTCACCTCTCATTTAAAGATACTCAGAAATATATCCAAATATCTGTAAGAAAGATTTTACGTTGGGTACCCAAAGAATTTTCTGAATACTTAATGGAATACAAATTTTATATTTACATTTTCCCTTATTTAAGCAGCAATGCAACATGAAAGATGGGTGTGTTTGGATGGCTTTACCCACATGTAAACATGTGTATATACATATCCATACGCAGAGATGATTTTCAGAATGTGCATGGTATACTGTCCAAGACGCAGTTCCCATAGCAGCTACACAAGCGTGACTCTAAAGGAGAGCCAGCCAACACACCAGTACTGGAAACCAGCGCCCCATCTCCACACTGGGGATGGGGGTAGAGGCAGGAGTGGTCTTGTGTCTGCTCTGACCAGGGGAGAAAAGCAGTTGGAGGCCACCATAAGAGCATTACAGGGGCCTGGCTGGAAGGTTGGCGGTACCTCCAGCCTGTACACACTCAGCTCCAGAGCCACAGAGGCCAAGGTTCACTTGAGAGAGCTAAAGGCAATTTTTTTTTTTTTGCTTTTTACTAAATAGTAAAGACTTATCTTAATGTCTTAACAACCTCTTTTTGTGGAGCATACCATCTGAGTATAACCTCATTCTAGTTCATTTACACACATTCATAGACATGAACACTCATATGTTCCACCAACAAGAGCAACTAAGACCCACCCTAGAGAATAGTATGTGGGCTCATATATTTAAATATCTCCATATACATGTTTACATTTATAGGAAAAGTCTTCAAAAAGTTCATGTAGGGGAAGACATTTGGCATAGCATTTATGACACCACTTGCAATGCCCTCATCCCATATCAGAGTGCCTGGGTTCAAGTCCCAGCTCCACTCCCAGTTCTAGCTTCTTGCTAATGTACACCATGGGAGGCAGCAGGTGATGTTCAAGTATTTGAGTTGCTACCACTCTATAAGAGACCTTGATAGAGTTCCTGGCTCCTGGCTCTGACCATGGCCACTGTGGGCATTTGGGGTAGTGACTCAGTAGATGGTAGGACTCATTCATTCATCCCCCCCCCCCCGAATTAAATAAAATTTTAAATAACAGTTAAGTTCATGTAAAATGCATGTTATCTTTTAATTTCATTGTCTATAAACTCTTTGAAGTATAAGTATCACTCAATAGAAACACTGATCTATGAAAAATTATGCTTTTCCAATTCTTCCGAGTAACTGAAGGCCAGTCATAATTCTGATTTTAGTTCCTAGTGCCATTCTCCACTATCTTTTTTTTTAAAGATTTATTTATTTACTTGAAAATCAGAGTTACACAGAGAGAGTAGGAGAGGCAGAGAGAGAGAGGTCTTCCATCCGCTGGTTCACTCCCCAGCTGGCCGCAATGGTTGGAGCTGCACAGAGCCAAAGCCAGGAGCCAGGAGCTTCCTCTGGGTCTCCCACGTGGGTGCAGGGGCCCAAGGAGTTGGGCCATCCTCTACTGCTTTACCAGGCCATAGCAGAGAACTGGATTGGAAGTGGAGCAGCTGGGACTCGAATCAGTACCCATATGGGATGCCGGCACTGCAGGCAGTGGCTTTACCCACTACACCACAGCGCCAGCCCCTGCACTGTCTTTCATAAGGTTGAGTGAAGTGCCTGATTGAGCTGGTTTCTCTATTTCTTAGCAATAGTCTCTCAGCTACACAACCCTCTTGCCCTCTGTTTTATAATGTTAGGGGCTGGGAATAGGAAAACTCTGCTTCCCAAGTGGCATTATCAATTGGCTTTCTGCCAACTAACGGCAGGAAGAGAAAGGGCGCCCTTGATGCTCCTGTCTCCCCCTTACTGTTCTTTCCTAGCTCCCTCCTTGTTCTTCTGACAAGGACTCTGGAAGAATCTTCAACTGGTCCACTACAGCACAGCTCTGCCAAGTGACAGTACCATCACCTCCTCCCTTCTGTGTTCCTGGGCACAGGGCGGGCAGTTGCTTCCTGAAGTCATTACTATCTGGCTTACCCACTTACCTTCCTCTTTTTTGCCTTCCCATCTATTTCCTGTATTAAATTCCCTGTTTGAAATACCAGTGTGCTTTTTGCTTTCCTGGATGATAAAACAATCTTCCCCAAATTGCATAGACTTACTGTTGACTCTGTTTCCATTAAGAATCCATGAAGCAGAATGTTCCTTTGCAAGGCTAACTTGAAAATAGGCTGATGCCTACCTTTTTAGAGTAGCTAATAGGCTTTCCTGCATGCTGGTGTCAGTTCAAAGACAGGGCATTCAGTTCCTTCCAGCTTTTCTTAAAGAATATAGGACTGTCGTTCAGAAATGCTTTGCAGGTTATGTCAGTTTACTTTGTCTACCTCAGAGGGGAAAAAATGATGTGATTCTTTCTCCCATTTGCCTCTCGATTCGTTTTCATTTGCTCTTATCTCCACTTGAGCCCAACTTCAGTTGACAACCTTTCTCCTTGACCTTCATCTGATCCATCACCTAATCTCTCTCCTCTTTACTTTTGCATTAGTACCTGATGAATCATATCTTCACCTGTGTCAAATGTAGCACGCTGTTTTTCATTTATAACAGCCTCTCGTGCACAGAGCTTGTATTACCAGAAATTTCTCACAGGCCCTGTGGAAGTCCTTATCTACATGCTTCTTACAACTGAAAACACAGTCCCATTGTATACCATCGATATTTCAGTCCTTTTGCTATGAACCTCAGTGGTACTGTTGCCGTACAATCCATAACATTATCCTTAGCTATTTTCAGATTGGGTTTTATTTTTTTCTCTATCCTTTTCTGAATCCAAACGTCTCTTTTATTTCCTATATTTGGATTTTTTTTTTCACCAATGGTGTTCTAAAGTGTCAGAAAATCTTGGGTGTAATTTTTGTCTATTTTGGCAATGAGTCAGATGAAAATCATTTCTTCACAAAAAGACTTAAAAATCATGGTGTCTAGTGGCTTCAGTTGAAGCCCTGAAGAAAAAAAGCAGCATATACAACATCGCGTTCTGTTTGGCATCTGCTTTGTTTACACAAAAGATACTGCATTCAATGACTCCTTAAATTTGGGTCTCTCAACTCAGACAGCAACATATTGCCAGCAAAACTTGATCAGCTAAGTATTGTGAGCTGGGAATACTGCTTTATTGGATTAAAGCCAGGGACTGTTCCATCTGCACAGCCTTTTAAATCAATTTGAGGGACCTGGATACTGCATGAGTTAATTCATGATGACTTTTCCAAACCAAAATAATCTCCTTTCATAAATGTGCATTGAGAACGCCATAAGTAACACTGATTTTGCACTCCTTATACGCCAGGGTTGATTCCACGCACTTAAACTATGTTAACCTATGTGAGCCTCACAGTGGTTCTATGAAGGTACTTCAAAAAGGTGAGTTTGTTTTTGTGCAATAACTTTTGAAATTGGATATTATCATCCCCATTGTGCAGATGAGGAAAATAAGGCAAAGTGGAGAGACATACCTACTCTAGGTCACACAGGTAGCAAGTGGAAGACTGGGAATCTCACTCCAGGCACTTTGACTCTACACCAAACTACCTCTCAAACCTTCTTTTCCACATCTTGACTTGGGATATTTACCAATCATACATCATTAGTATCCAGGTTCTCCTGTGAAGATAATTTTGTGCCTTGGTATGGATCTTCTTAGTAACAGTTCTTGCATTGGCCCACACAGCTACCACAATAGGGAGGTTACTATGTGTCAGGCATTGTGCTAGCTGTTCTTACATTTATACAATCTCATCTAATCTTTCCCAAAATACTAAGCCTTGGTTACTACTGTCAGTATCCAGATAAGCAACGAGAAGGTAACCAAGTAAGTGACCTGCACAGGAGCAAAGCATTAGGAAGTAGAAGAGACAGAATTCAAAGCCAGACAGTGACTCCACAGCCGGAGCTCCTAACCACTTGACACCAAGGCTTCCCCTCTTCTCTTATTCCTAACTTCTTTGGAAAACTGAGCCCAGCAAGCCGCCATCCAGCACTTCTGTCCTCTAGCACAGCTGCCTAGCCAGGACTCCTTCTCCAGTGGCAGTCAGAGCTTCCCGAGCCTAGATTTTAGCATTGGCTCTGACACTGGGGAGATCACTTAAGCTCTTTGAATCTCTCTATCCTTTCTTGTGAGATGGCACTAAACACCATCTACTTCACAGGATCACTGTGAGGATTAAAAGATAATGTACATAAATGTGGCAAGTACTTCAGTGTTTTTAATTACGATAATAATAATGGGATTTTCAGCATCACCTTAACAGTGAAATAAGATGGGCTATATGAGTTGTAAGCTACTGTGGAGTATAATATTTTATTCCAGAGCAATTGGATCAATACTTTGAAAGGCCCTATTTTGGAGGTCAGTGAAGAAAGCCTAAAATTAAAACTTTCTCTCACTTTTAAAAGGTCTTATAAAATTCATAAGTTCATTCACAAAGCTAGAACTGCTTACAGATCCATCACTTATAGGACCATGGTTTCAGGAAAGAGCTATACCTCAGAATCACAGTTATTTAAAGAATTTAAGAAAACCACTTTTTCAAAAAAATGTAGTAAGTGGTAAAAACAAGAGTTTTTTTCTGAGGATGAGAACCCCCTTATCAGAATTATTTATAGGAGGAGAAATAACAGTGGATGTAATTAGAAAGGCCTGCAATAAGTATATCTATTGGAAAATGTGTGTCCCAAGATATCAGAACAAAAAACAATTATTACTATTTCTGATCAGTAACTTACTAAAAATGCATAGTCCAACTTAAAATAAATTACAGTATCATCTGTGTATGTACTTAATTCACCAAAATAATCATAAGGTTTAATGAAGTTAACTCACAGTAGGCAGATTTATTGCTCTTCATTTAATATGAATGAAGCAAATAAAAAGCGTTTAACAACAAACATTCACCCTTAGAATACGTTCACTAATTGTAAGTCACTCAGTATGCTTAATTCTTTCCTTTGTGATTAAATTAAAGTCAAATCCCAATCCGTTTGCTTTATGTTACCCTCTCAGCTGTGCATTCCTCCTGACACTTCCTTTATTTTGAATCTGATCTAAATCTTGTGATATGCCTGGCATATTCTGGCTTAAGTCTGGCCAGGAAATTAATCAAAAGTTGGTGCTTTCTGGCACCACCAGGTTTAATTGCTTAGACTTGGGTTAGTTGAAAGGCATGAGGCCAGTAAAACCTGCCAGAAAAAAGAATACAGTAAATTTAGCACTTACTGCCTTGAGGTCTTCATGAACATAAGTATCATTCATTATAAACTCAGGATAGCCAACTTTGGCCAAAACAGCTCTCGCCTATAAAAAAGGGGGGCAGAGAAAAATGATGTCAGTTTCAGCACTAAACTCATTAATAATCACAGGATGTAGGAATACAATCTTCATCTGAGAACTCCACCTACTAAATATCTACTTTACGCAAGCACTGTGATAAGCAGAAAACAAAAACAAAAATGAAATTTCAATATACTAAAAAGTGTAGCGAATCTAGCAAATAACTATCTTGTACAAAACTAAAATACAGGTCTCAAGAGAAACAGACAGTATGTTACCAAAGCCTGCAACAGAGACCATTTCCTCAAGAGGAAAATACTTGAAAAGATGGTCAACTTTAGTCTTAGAGAATGGTTAGTATTTCAAAACACAGAGTTGAGAGGAAGGTCACTGTGGGAGAAGAAACAACAGTGGCAAATGCAAGGAACACAAGCTATTTGTGAACCATCCATCTGTCAAGGGGTTAATGTACAAAACACATAAGCAACTCAACTCAGTAGTAAGAAAACAAAAATCTGGATTTTAAAATCAGCAAAGGATCTGAAAAGACACTTCCCAAAAGAAGATGTATAAACGGCCGGCCAATGGGTATATGAAAAAATGCTCAACATCATTAATCATCAGGGAAACACAAATTTAAGCCACAGAGAGCTATCCCTTCACCTCTGCTAGGATGGCTATTATCAAAACAATAAGGGAAGACAAATGTTGATGAGGATATGGAGGAAGGTGAACTGCTGTACACAGTTAGTGGGAATGTAAATTGGTAGAGTCTCTGGAAAATACTGTGGAAGTTGCTCCAAAAATTAAAAAGATCATGTGGCCCAGCCATTCCACTTCTGAGCATACAAAAGAACTGAAATCAGTTTGTCAAAGAGATAGTGACACTCCCACATTCATTGTAGCATTATTCACAATAGCAAACACACAGAATGAACTTAAGTGCCCATGAATGGATGAATGGATAAACATAATATCGTATAGGTACACCGTGGAATACTATTCAGCCTTTAAAAATAAGAAGTCCTGTAACTTGTACAAATGAGGAGGAACGAAAAGGACATTATGTTTACTAAAATAAGCTAGACATAGAAAGACAAACAGTACATGATGTCACCTATATTCAGAATTGAAAAAATTAAAATTCATAGAAGCAGAAAGTAGAGTGGTGATTGCCAGAGGCTGCAGGATGGGGTTGGGGAGATGACAGTTAAGGACACACAATTTCAGTTAGACAAGATGAGTAAGTTCAAGGAGGCATTGTACAAAATACTGATTGTAGTTAATAGCAATGTGTTACATACTTGAAAACTGATAAGAGAAATTTTTAAAGTTATCACAAAATGATATGTATGGTAGTAGATTGCGAATTAGCCTGAGTTAGCCATTCTACAATGTATGTACATGTGGAGGTCTTCAAAATGTAATTATGAAAAATAGCATGGATTTCCAATATTTCTGCACTAAGATAAAATTATCTTTTAATTTCATTTCTCTGCAAACTTTTTGAAATATCCTTATTGCTGTAAACTGGATATGTTATCCAAAGGCCTATCTGTTAGTGGCTTAGTGTTCAAAGTCTCCTGCTAATGGTTAATAGAATACTGCTAATGGATTAAAGGTGGAGATGTGTGAAGGTGGGGCCTAGAGGAAGTGACCAGATTGGATTAAGCTATTGAAGTAGGACCCCATGAATCATGGTGGCTTTATAGAGACACATGAACACAGAGGTTGAGCAGGCTCCCCATCTCTCTTGCCTCCTGGTTTGCCACATCATCCACTGCCCTCATTAGAATCCAAATTAATGGAGCCACCTGAACTTGGCCTGTTAACCTGAAAAATTGTGAGTGAAAATAAACCTTTTCCCTTATAAGTTAGCTCCTCTCGGGTTTTTTAGTTGTAGTAATAAAAAGCTAATTAATATACTTACATATCAAAACATCCCAATGTATAATATAAATATATAAATGTTTCACCTGTTAATTTAAATAATATGGAAAAAGACATGGATTCAGGAAACATATGGCATAAAAAATGCAAAGTAGTTTGATATAGTGGGACTGTGAAGTACATGAGGATGGAAAGGAGAAAATAATGCAGGAAAATTGACTTAGGGCCAGGTCACAGGGATTCCTGAATGTCCTGCTAATGTGTCTCTATTTTATTTTACAGCTAACAGAGAGCTAAATATTTTCAGCAGGGGAGTAAAAGGAGACATGACATGCTTTGGGAAGATTATCTGTCCAACATTATGAATAATGGCCCAGATGCCAAAATGTGCAGAGGCAGGGAATCCAGAATAATTTAAAATACATCATAACATTATAGCCATCTTTTTGAGAGACAGAGGTACTAATTATCTCTGTAGTTTGCAGCATATAGGGAATGGATAAAGGAGTATAAGGAGTGGCCAGAGGAGCTATTGGCAAACTATGGCTCCAGGACCAAATCCAGCCCTCCCTCTCCCCCTTGACCTGCTTATTTTTATTTTTATAAGAAAAGTAGTACTGGAGCACAGCCATCTATTTACCTATTCTCTATAACTGCTTTTGCGCTACAGCTGCGGAGTTGAGTAGTTGGGAGACCCTGTGGTTCACACAGCCTCAATTATTTTATCTGGCCCTTTGTAAAAAATGTTTGCCAATCCTGCTCTATAGAAACTTCATAGTTCCATGTAAAAATCTCTCCCCACACCTCAGATTCTGGATTTCACAAAGACAAAAGAGCAGTTTAAAATTGTACTGTCAGGGCTCTGCCCAGATCCCCTGGGGTCCCTTTATCATCTCTGGACATCCCACCCCAGCATCTCTGCTCGCTTCTTTCCTAGTGGCCAGCACCTCAGACTCCCTTGAAGGCCTGCTCTAGGGCTTTTAGAGCTCCTTGCCTGCACTCTCCAAGAGCTACTTCCTGTGAGTTTTGCCTTCTGTCCACTCCACCTCCACCTCCACCCCCACCCAGGCAGCCATTCGGGAAAGAATGACAATACCAAGAGTGTAAAGCCCAACTCCTTCGCCTGGATTCAGTATAATCCACAGTATAAAGTATACTCAGTTCTCTGAGTATACTTGGTACTTCCAGAGTTCTCCAGAGGATCAGACCAGTTCAGAGATGTTCCTGGAAACTGCACCGTGACCTGCCTTTTCCCTGTCCTGCTTATCCCATTCCCTTGCTGGTTTCTCTTGGGAGAATGTGCTCTGTAAATCACTCGCACACAAATCCTCATCTCCAGACCTGCCTGTAGAAGATCCAACATAAGATTCAGGGACTCCAGAAACATGTTGGTTTTATTCCAGCAAAGCAAAACCAGTAACCCTTGCACACTGCTCTTCGTAATGACTTTTTCCCCCCTTTAGTCCCTTTCACTTTTTCTCATTCAACAAATAAATAGAATTTCCTTATCTTCCTTGAGATAATTCAAATAATAAATATCAGCAGAACCCTACAATTCAAGACTTAGAGAGGATTTCACAAGTGCCATAGGACACAGTCACAATGGGTTTTGCTATTCCACAGACTCAAAGATAGCACAGATCAGATTTGACCTTCAAAACACTGTGAGTTGCACATACTAAAAGCCTAATGTAACCCAAATAGCAGATAACTAGAGGTTACAACTCTTTCCCCCAACACCAAACAACACATCATATGTCTACAGGTTACCTTCTTCTGGGAGCTTTCTATCGTTTCCATCACTATATTTAATTTCTCACTGTATTTTATCAATTCACTACAAGTTATATGCATAATAATAGCAAATAAAATGCCCTAGCTTGTTTCCCCAAGAAGAAGAAATGTATAAGCTCAGTCAAACAAAATTGTTTTCTGAACAATCCAGAGCATGTTTTTCAATCCTTACCCTCTGGGACCCCCACTGCTCTACAGAACCTAACAGAATCTCTGACCTTCTACACTCCATATGCAGGTCATTGAATCCTTTTTTATCATTTATTTAGCATCACCATGACTTGAAGAGAATCAAAACAGTGATACAAAGAATCCCTGTTTACTTCCCAAGGATACATATAGCTGAATGAGGAAATAGTACTGGCAGCAACGTGGCCAACAGCTGACTAAAGGGCTCTTCTTTCCAAAATGTGCTGTGTGTATATATACCTCAGTTCAGACTCACGCTCCTTCTGCAGAGTCTGTTGTCAGTTCCACATCAGCCCACCCCACACTATTCTATGTTCTTCCCTGAGAAGCTTCAGAACTTCATCTCCCAAAATCCCCTGGTACATGGCCTCGGGCTAGACTGCCAATGAGAAGCACCTGTGGGAGACTGGAAAGCGGGGAAGAGAGAGGTGCATCAGTTATGCACTGTCAGCAACCATACAGCAGTCACGAGGGCATCTTCAGACAGCAGAAACAGCACTTGACGGAAGCTTCTGGGTGTTCTTCTAAAAAGACCCTTTGGGGGTGTGGGCAGCAGTGATCATTGGCACCTCTGCCTTTCACCCCACAACCCTCAAAATAGATGTGTAAGCTTCCAGTTCCCCATGTTAAATGTTTTCCTGCTACATAAACTTAGAGGAACAAATGTTTTCTTGAAAGAATCCTAAGGCAAGTAATGATCCACTAACTTTTTAACTTCTTTAGAAGAGAAGCACCCATCATTTGATAACTTGCTGAATGGCCAAGCATTGGTGAGACAGGTCTGAAATCAATTACCTCACTGGTCACGGGGATGAGAAGGAACGATAAGTCCCACCAAAACCACCGAGGGAACAGTGGTATAAATTTTGACCATATTGCATATTTTATCCCGCAAATTGTTACCTAGGCAGTTTGTGGCTGGTCAAAAACTGTGGAGTTTTCCATAACCAGTAAGGGCATTTCCATCCCTTATGAATACAAATATCTGGAGAGGAGCCACAGCCATCATCTGGACATCCTTCCTCAGGGAGGAAGCTCAAGCAGCTTCTGAGTTTCACTACCTCCGTGACTGGGCAAACCACTTAACTTTTCTGAAGCAAATGCTGCACATTGTCTACCCAATAGCCAATCTCCATTTCTTCTGTTACAAT